ACACCTATACTGTAGGGTATTGAAAATGTTTTCTTTGTTAACCGAAGAAAACATTCTCAATACCCTGCAGTATAGGTGTAGCCAACTTACCTCTGAGGCAGAACTCTTAACACGAACAGTTTTGAGGGCGGGCTAGCCTCTAAGTGGCCTGCAGGGTTTCTCAATACCCTGCAGTATAGGTGTAGCTAACTTACCTCTGAGGCATATACTGTAGGGTATTGAAGATGTTTTCTTTGTTAACCGAAGAAAACATTCTCAATACCCTACAGGCCACTTAGAGGCTAGCCCGCCCTCAAAACTGTTCGTGTTAAGAGTTCTGCCTCAGAGGTAAGTTGGCTACACCTATACTGCAGGGTATTGAGAATGTTTTCTTCGGTTAACAAAGAAAACATTTTCAATACCCTACAGTATAGGTGTAGCTAACGAAGTATTACCTCTGAGGCAGAACTCTTAACACGAACAGTTTTGAGGGCGGGCTAGCCAGTATATGCCTCAGAGGTAACCTCAGAGGTATCTCCCCTCCATGGTCAGAAGGGAAGAGTCAGCCTTCTGATGGTGCAGGGCAGTTTGTATCATATGGCGTCATTGCTACTTGTCCTGGTATCCTCCGGATGCCAATTTACTATTATACACTACTGTTTTTGTGATTGCATTCTTAATAAGTGAGTCCTTGCTGTCTCTCAAGGCGTTGAACTCCAGCTGGAAGTGTCTCCTGTTATTTGAGACAGGGATCCCACAGTGTAGTCCCAGATTCAGAATATCATTCATTCTTCTGTGGTAGTCTGCCAATATTAGTCTTCACTCTTCCAGCATCTGAGCGAGTTATTACAGTACTAATTATGTCACAATCTGGGCAAGACTTCATTTAATCAGTCTTCCATCAGTAGATTCCATTCATATATCCAAATTTGATCGCGGGACAATTTTTTCGGAAACTTCATTTAATCAGTCTTCCATCAGTAGATTCCATTCATATATCCAAATTTGATCGCGGGACAATTTTTTCGGAATCATTTCATATAAGTTAAATTGAGTCTTGATCCGAACGAGCTGGTTGAAAATTTTCCTTGCTCACCATGGACCAACAAATGAGTCAATCAATCAAGCTGAGAGCAGCTCTGACCACAAGGATCAAGGAAATTATGGGAAAATCATCAGCAACAGGGATCTTCAGAGGGGGGATATTGCAAACTCACCTTCTACACAAAGCAAGGTGAGAGGTTATATTTAGGGCCTTATTTGATCCGCTCTATTAAATGGTCTCACTTAAGATTAAGAATTGGACATGAGCTAGACAGTTGCTTAGCAACACGTGATGTCAACTTCCATGCTTCTGCGTCAATCTCAGAATATGAGATCAATCGAGCTGCACTGACAGTTGCCCATGCAATGGTAAATCCTTGTGAGTTGTTTCACTCTGCAAGATATCACCTGGTTTTAAATTCACATCATTTGCAGATTATGTGGATTGGGATGTTGACAGATTTGCCGAAATGGCCAAAGTCTCTACACCTAAATCTGATGGTCCCCTCGCTAATACCAATCAGCTACCAAAGTACTTTTCTGCAGCTATGATCGGTAAAATTTCAGCACCAGCTACTATTGTGGACAGGCAAGGTAAAATTTTAACAATTTACTTGCCAAATATTCTGTCTTCTTCTCGGGTTGTATGTTCATTCTTCCTTGGGAATTCCCCTCATCAATTGATAAATTAAATTAGGAATATGTGAACTCAGCCACTAAGGGTTTACGGACTTTACTTCTTGAAACAATTACGTCCTCCACCCAACAGTCTTGGCGATCTCAAGGCTTTGTTGTCCCAGAGGGGGGTGGAGAATTTGGAGCAGGCAGAGTCACAGTATCACCAGCATATTTTATGCAAAGACACGAGGTATAGGCCAAATTTAGTGGCTGTTTAGCTACTTTTGACTTTGTTTGATTTCATTTGCAGAGACTGGAAGACCCAATGGTTACCTCGGCTTCCTATAAGTCTGTGGAAGTCCAAGAGTGGCTAGCTGCTTTATCAGCTACTGAATCTTTCTGGAATGCCATTACCGCTGTATCGGCTCCAGATCTATTCGAAGCAGGCACCTTGGCAATCACTCGTATTATTGAGGAACTTCAAGGTTCTGATAGAACATCACCACCCATCTGTGATTGGCCCTCGATCTTCTCAGGATTGGAAATAATTGCAAAATCGTACAACTTTATCACACAGAGATTCTGGTGGCGCACCTTCTCTTTTTGATCTTCTGATTAGTTTAGGCAGTGGCCATGAGGCTAAGTTGACATTAGCAGATGTTGGGGCCGAACTGGATTATTACCCTGGGACAATGGTCTTCATTTCCGGGAAGGTTTTACAACATTCTATTGGTCCATGGGTTCGGGAGAAAGGCTCGTTATTGCCCATTTTATGAGGATAAAATCCACTCTAGATGTGGGGTATCCAGACCCCCCTTTCCAACACAGGCCTATTTTTTGCAGATGGTGGGGCAGCAGGATAGTTATTTGTTGTGACAAGTAGATGATAAGAAAGGAGTGGTTCTTGGAGGAGGAGGGGTGGAATGGGACAAATCAAGTGTTTGACAGTATACCTACTAGATTAGTTGATGTGATCTAGTGATTCCTATGAATGGTTTCAACTATCAAAAAATAGAATGTTGATAATATCAATTTTTCCCCCCACACGTAACCCTATGTCTCCCAAGAAAAAAACTCGACTCAAGGCAGCTACATTTTCCTTCCAAGGAAGAGGTCGTTTGTCTAAAGGCAAGGACCTTGATGTTGCCTATGTGTCTCATAAACAAGTCATTGGAAGAGAAGGAAGCCAACCTGGGTGGAATCATGCGCTGATAGCCTTTATGACACTGCCCCAACACCATCTCCATCCTCCAGCCCTCGTAAACGTATTAGAGAAGACACTCAAGGGTTGCAAAACAGTCATGAAGATTTTGATAGACAAACCCTTGGTGACTTTGTTTCCTATGTAGAGAACTCACAAAGAAAAACCAAGGCAAGCATAGTGATTCAGTGTCTTTTAATGATGTACTAAATAGAGATTATTACGACCAGACACAAAATGACTTCATCCAAGAATATCTGCCTTTCCGAGACTTGTACTTGGATATTCTCCTTGACTTGGAGAAACCCTCCGATGTATCCCAGTGCCAGTCTTGTCAGATTGGTGAAGGGAAATTCCGCTGTTTGACTTGCAGTGGAGATCAGACATTCTGTCGTTCTTGCATTGTCAATGCTCACCAGTTTTTTGCCCTTCCACAAGGTTCAAGAGTGGACTGGGAAATGCTTCAACGACACATCACTTGAAGAATTGGGTTTATCTGGTATATGGGCCATGGGGGACAACCATGTCCATTTTCTGACGACATGCATGCATGGGAGAATATTCCCATGGACGCAGAGGCCAATTTTTCACCAATGGAGACAGTTCATGGTTCAACTATACCAACCAAGTTGACCATTGTACATTCCACTGGAGTGTTTTTGCACAACGTTGTCTGGTGCAGCTGTCCTGGGGTCGATTGTCAGCAGCATTTGCAATTGCTGAAAGCTAAATTATTTCCAGCCAGTACCACTCGACCACAGACTGCCTTTACTTTTGATGTCCTCAATCATTTTCTAATTGATGCACTGGAGTGCAAGACTTCAGCATCCAGCTTCTTTGAAAAAATCCGTCGAATGACCAATAACTGTTTCCCAGATACTGTTCCTGTAAGTCTTATAAGTCTTCTTGGTGAAAGTTAAACTAACAGTACCAATTTGTTTTTCTAGAATCGATATCGAGAACTTATGAGAGTGTCTCGACTGTGGAGAGACTTGATGAGTCGAAAATGGTTTGGCTTTGCCCATAATGATGAGCAGAAACCGGACAAGGGTGATCTGGCTTGGTTTTGCCCTGCTTGTCCACAGCCTGGGATTAACCTACCTCCTGACTGGCAAGCCAGATATGAAAGGCAAGTCATTTATCCATCTCATTCTAAGGAGAGGCGACTCAATTTCTCTACCACACTTGAGAATATCATACTCACTGGCTAGCCCTACACTGCATAGTGTACGAGAGCTCCGGCCGGACTGACTTATGTTCTAATCAAGCTGGCCAGCATGGCATAGACTGGATGTAAAACCAGGCCGGCCGGCACATTAAATTGGCTTGCTAGCTTGACACAGATAGCATGCATAACCATGCTGGCCGGTTAAACTGAGGTGCATAGATGTCACTCAAAGACATGCCAGCCAGAGAGTTGGTCCGGAGAGAGACTTCTACTTTTCTTTTTTGCACATTTTTAACCTTATGCTTACCTGTTTGTACAGTTGGCTTGTTTCACAAAGATATGTGGTAGACGGGAACTTCACTGCTCAACATATGGTAATGAGAAAACCACAGTTGGACATTAGTTTGTCAGACGGGCTTGGGTATATGGTGAAAGATCAAGAATACCAGACTCATCTGTCATCGGCTGTAGAAAGTAAAGAGGTGAGTTGGCTCATGACAACCACTTTTCGTTCATGCTTCACTATCTTTGTAGCGGTCTTCTTGCAGCAATCATCGTGCAGTAAATGCAGCCAATATCAGCAGGAGCAATCTTCGAGCTACAGGTGTAGGAGCAACTGCTTGTGCTCGACATGGATGCTTTGTTCCTCATAGTATAGTTGATTTTCAGAAGGGCGAAAGGTCTGTGTATGTCCTCCAAATCAACATGTTATGCAAGCTCAGGTAATTTTTAGACACATGAATATCGACTACTCAATATGCAATGCATTGAATTATCATTCAGCTGGTATAGACTCTTCCCTCATCATTTATGATGTGGGGTGTCAGTGGAGCATTAATTTTCTACAGAGAGTAGCCCAGAGCAAGGGCTTGTCTGTACCTGAAAATATGCACATTGTTCCAGCAGTTGGAAAATTCCATCTTAGCGCTCACAAATTAGCTTGCTTTGCAAGGTACAGCCTCAACTTTATTCAAGGGGCTGGACATGTTGATGGGGAGATTTTGGAGACTCTGTGGGCACCATTCAATAAGATCTCCCCAACTGCTCGGTCAATGAGTCAGGCTCACCGTCAAGAAGTTCTTGATGATCATATGCGAGACTCAAACTGGAAAAAAATAGTGGGAATAAGTAAGCCCTCCAAATTTTGCATTTGAACAAGCTTGACAATTGAGCTTCCAGTGAAGACTCTCTTGAAAAAGTACAAACGGGCTCTCAAAGGTGTTGATGACACAAAGTCTCCCTTTGACGAGCTCACTCTGTCTCTGGACCCTGAGAAGATTTCGATATGGAAGATCGATGAGAAAAAGGCCATGGAACAACGTGGAGAGTATCTTGACATCTATCAGTTGCAGATGAACAAAGGTAAGTGAACTCTGTCTAGTTGTGAGGCTGCTATTCTTGTATAGACATCTGATCAGTATTTGTATCTAGCTCCAACTATGGCAGAGATTAGACTCAAATTAACTGAGTCTGAGAATACCGACACTAGCAAACCTGGGACAGTCTCTTGGCTCATTACTGGCATCAATCTGGAGGATTTACAGTATGTAACCAATAAAAATAGAGAAACCGTTTGACATAGTACTATTTTAGGGATGGACTAAGGGCAGATATTCGACAACTTCCTACTGATGCAACCCCAGGACAGAAAGTTTCTATAGAAGAGAAGCGACAGAGATTGACAGCTAGGATAGCTAAATTTCATGAAACAGCTGATGCCATGACTGCTGGTATGGATCTTGGAACTGCAACAGTGCATTCCGACGATCCTAGATTCTGCTATGCAGGTCATGATGAAAATGGTTGGGGAGAGGTCTCAGATGAAGAGATCTCAGAGTATATTGACGAAGAAATCTTGGCTGAAGAGATGGGTATCTGGATGCCATCATCAGTGCCCTACCAGGATGCATTGGCTCTCGGACTGGGTCCCCTCCAAGCTGAAGAATTAGAACTTCGAAAGGGCCAAGCCAATGACTGCCTCGAAAAGCTTCGAATGGCCCTTGGTCATAAGGCCATCATCTATCGTCAGTATTTTCGAAGTGCTAATTCTACATGGGCTGGGACTAGGTCAAAGCAAGAAGCTCAACGCTGTCAGCTCAAAATTGACAAGTGTGTAAGAAGCTATCAGAGGGCAAGGTCAGCAATGGAAGGTCTAGGCATGGACAAAGCCACCTTGGGGAGTCTTTATCAGCCAATATCGCCTACAGAGCTCAGTATAGACAAAGAGGTGACAGAAGAAAATAGATTTGGACAAGGGTCAGACAGGCTGGCTTGGTTTTGGAGGGGAAATAATGCAAGCCAAGGTCAAGACGATGCCTGGATAGATGAATGTAAGAAAAAATCTTTATCTCTATGATATGTCACTAAAGCTCCAACCGATCTAGTCTACAGGGTGAACTGGTTGAAGGCTAAGGCTAGATGGAATAGATGGCAAGAGGAATTAAGGCTGGTAAGACATGAAATGGGTTGGACCATAAACTGGTTCAAGTACCACCAGAATGAATGGGAGAGAAGGGGTGGCCAAGCCACCAGACCTGGTCATCAAGCCTATGCTTATCAGCAGGTCTTGATGTGGGGAAGATTTGTTGAGGAGGCAGAGAAAAATTTCAATGGATGTCAATTTATACTTTGATCTGGTATACTGTCTTTGCTAGGAAAAATATGACAGGATAATTCTCAATGCTAATGAATGACAAGGTAGCTTAGCTAGCACTAGCTCCACTCTATGTAGTCCACAGCTGGCCGAGATAATTGTATTTAAGATATGGACTGGCCAGATGGTTCCTACAGCATGTATGTACATGGCTGGCCCTTATAAGAGTATATAACTAGCTTATATCTACCCTATGCAGTCCATGTAATTCTGATACCAATAACTGGTTAGCCTTGATTCTACAATAGACAGAATCAAGTCGGCCGGTATGAAATGTTGAAACCAATAACCAGCCAGTCTTGATCATACATGTCGTAGGAACTATCTGACCAGTATACAAATCTGAAACCAATGACTGATCAGCCTTGATTCTACTATTGTACAATTAAACCGAGCAATATTAAAACTAATAACTGGCCAGTCTTGATTCTACATGTTGTAGAATTAAACCGGCCGGGATGCAATGTTGGAATTGAAAACCAGCCAGTCTTGATTCTACTGTTGTAAAATCAAACCGGCCGGAATGCAATGTTGTGATTGAAAACCGGCCAGTCTTGATTCTACTATTGTACAATTAAACCGGCCGGGATGCAATGTTGTGATTGAAAACCGGCCAGTCTTGATTCTACATGTTGTAGAATTAAACCGGCCGGGATGCAATGTTGTGATTGAAAACCGGCCAGTCTTGATTCTACTATTGTACAATTAAACCGGCCAGGATGCAATATTAAAACTGATGACTGGCCAGTCTTGATTCTACATGTTGTACAAGCTATCTGGCCAGTATGAAATTCTGTAACTAATGACTAGTATAGAAATTACAAAACAATAATTAGCTAGTCTTGATTCTACTATTGTACAATTAAACCGAGCAATATTAAAACTAATAACTGGCCAGTCTTGATTCTACATGTTGTAGAATTAAACCGGCCAGGATGCAATGTTGGAACTGATAACTGGCCAGCCTTGTTTCTACTATTGTACAATTAAACCGAGCAATATTAAAACTAATAACTGGCCAGTCTTGATTCTACATGTTGTAGAATTAAACCGGCCAGGATGCAATGTTGGAACTGATAACTGGCCAGCCTTGATTCTACTGGTGTAAAATTAAACCGGCCAGGATGCAATGTTGGAACTGATAACTGGCCAGCCTTGATTCTACTGGTGTAAAATTAAACCGGCCAGGATGCAATGTTGGAACTGATAACTGGCCAGCCTTGTTTCTACTGGTGTAAAATCAAACCGGCCAGGATGCAATGTTGGAACTGATAACTGGCCAGCCTTGTTTCTACTGGTGTAAAATCAAACTGGCCAGGATGCAATATTAAAACTGATAACTGGCCAGTATGACATTCTGTAACTAATGACTAGTACTCGTATAGAAATCCCAAACCAATAATTAGCCAGGCTTGATTCTTCTATAGGATTAAACCGGCCAGCTTTAATTCTACGGTTGTAGAATTAAACTGGCCAGGATGCAATGTTGGAACTGATAACTGGCCAGTCTTGATTCTACATGTTGTACAGGCTATCTGGCCAGTATGCAACTTAATAACAAGTGACTGGCTGACTTGATTTTACAACATGTAGAACCAAGACTGGCCAGTTATCAGTTTCAACATTGTGTCCTGGCCAGTTTGATTCTTGATTCTACAACAGTGGAGTCAAGGCTGGTCAGTCATTGGTTACAGAATTGCATACTGGCAAGCTTGATTCTACCTGCAGTGAAATCAGGCCAGCCAACTAGCTAGCTGAATTCTATATCTTGCAGGCATAAAGCTAGTCACTACCACTGATGGTAATCATTTATATATATATTAACACTAAACACTAATTCTACATACTCCGGCCAGCTGTATTATACATTTTGTAGGCATAAGGCTAGTTATTGTGTTTACAGTAATTCTAATATGTATATATCTACACCAGTCAACACTGATTCCACATACTCCGGCCAGCTGGAGTTTGCATACTCCGGCCAGTGACTGGCTGGCCATGATTCTACAGACTTTTGGCACATCCGGAGCCAGGGTTCTACATGGAAAGTGACTGAAGGGTCTGGAACTATCAGCGTCATCATCCAATATTTTAGCCTGAAGGCAGCCGGTCATCACAGACACCCGCCTCGACACACGCTCACCATCGTTATCCACCGACTCCCCAATGTCTGATCTGATGATGAGACAAAATTCGACATTCTTCCATATTTGGTCTTTGTAGTATTATCCCCTGAGGCTAGTGCTGCCGTGGTCCGGTTCAGTCCGGTTCACAGAGGGTCGAGCGAGAACCAAGAACTGGACCTAGGTCCGGTTCTACCAGACTCAACGAACCTCGAACTGGACCTTGGCGAACGGTTCAGAATGGTCAGGTCTGGTTAATTTCAGGTTCGAACGTGAACCGAACCAAATTTATTTACAATGAGCAAAAAAAAACATAAGTAGGTACTCATAGCTACACATCCAACTACACAGCTTCTGCCTCGACTGTCGCAGAAACATGGCCATTCCTATACGCCGCCTTTAACAACTGTAATGAGCCAAACGTGGACGATGCGAGTGCATTGCGTCGCACGGTGGAGGTGATCCCTCCGCTTGAGAAAGCCTGTTCGGAGGGGACGGAGCTGCCCTGGATGGGCAAATAATCGCGCGCAATACGTGCAAGCGTAGGGAATTGTAAAGAATGAAGCCCCCACCAGGCAACAACATCATTGGCCTCCTCTAGTGGTGAAGACAGATACACCGTGAGTTCTTGACGAGGATTGCGAGTAAGTTGGTCTGCAGCTTGACGCGCCTTAATGGCCTCGCGCATCCATGCATCACCATACCGGTTTTCCAGCGAGGGTCTTGTTGGCGGAGCAGGTTCATCGACAGGCGTCCGAGTTGGTGGTTTATAGTACTCATCAAACTGTAGAAGAATGTAAGCCAAAGGACAATGATGAGTCTGAACAAATACTTACAACAGTCTCGAGGTGAGCCCTCCCATCCGCAACGTCTTGACTGTCCCACCGTTCTTCAACATAAGCAAGCTTATAGTTGGGGTCAAGGACTGTAGTTAATAGTTATATGAGAGGCGGGCACATGTTATATAATAGGAGGGAAAATGGGAGGGAAGTGAAAGTGAAGTTTTTCATACGAGGCGGCGAAGTAGGTATGGTGGGGAGGGAAAGATGGGAGGGAAGTGAAGTTTTTCATACGAGGCGGTGAAGTAGGTATGGTGAGGAGGGAAAGATGGGAGGGAAGTGAAGTTTTTCATACGAGGCGGTGAAGTAGGTATGGTGGGGAGGGAAAGATGGGAGGAAAGTGAAGTTTTTATGAATGCTCACCGAGACAAATAAAATATACATCCGAGTCGCTTGTTTTCTTGTAGTATTTGTTGACGTTCTTGAGTCCTTGCTTGATTGCATCGGCGATTGGTGCATACTGTATATCATTGGCCATCTCTTGCCACCGGTCAGCCAGGCACTCCAATGTAGGTATCGTTTGCCATGCAGTAGGGTGTTTCGTGGAGGAGAAAGTTTGCTGGGCGGTAGCCGGCTCCTTCAGGACTTGATGAACGAGTCTGAGGTGTCTCCAGTCACTCCGGCCGAGCTTGAAATCATCGTAAGACTTGTTACGAAGATTTGGCACTTCTTTGCTTTCGTCAGCGAGATTGGTGAAACGGTTGACGGCCTGTTTAAAATATAAATATCAGATTCACAAACACTGAATAGAAAAAAAACATACCCGACGTAAGAGTAGCATGCGGTCAAGACATTTGTATAAGGAAGCCCAACGAGTTCTGATCCACTGCAATAACTCCAGCTCGGGTACGTTCTCCTCTTTGCAGGCCTTCTTGAAGAAGGCACGAGCTTGAGGCGATTTTCGTATCTAACAATCTCAATCAGTAAGAGCATAGGATAAGGATAAGGATAATAATGTACCTGCTCTATAAGTGCAAGCGCTTTGCCAAGCGAATCACCAGTGTTGAACTCATCTTCGCGGTCACGGTCACTGTTAACTTCTAAGGTTGCAAGCTCCTTGTTTAAGATGTCGAGTTCAGCATCATCTCCCTTATCAAGCGCCTGATGGGTCTTCTTCGTAACTGCATCTACAAAGTGTCGTGCCACAAGGTTCAGGATGTGTTCCTGGCATCTAATGCGGTGTGTGGCAGGTATCCATCGGACACCTTCTGGATCGATTTCGCGAGCAACTTCCTTCATTGCCGTATCGTTGTTGCTGGCATTGTCGGAAGTCATCCATCCAACCTGCACGAAGCAAACCATTAGCTTTACCATTAGATAGAAGAGGCCAGACCTTACCTTAGCTCGGACATCATATGTGTCAATTGAGTTAATAAGCATACAAGCTATATTTTGCCCGCTGTGATCGCCCTCAATGTGTTCGAAACTGAGCTGCTCACGACGTAACTCCCATTGCAGGGGTTTATCATCCGGGTTCCAAATGTAATGGCCAGTGACGGAGAAAAATGGGTCGCCGATAATCGAAGTCCAAGAGTCGAACGTCATGGAAACTTTGCTATTGACCTTTGCGAGACGTTCACGTATGACATTGACTATAGCTAATGCGCGTGCCTTGATGGTCTCAGTAAGCTTGGTGCAGTGAGGTATGTCTCTCTCAGTAAGGCCAGGCCGAACATAGCGAAGTAAGTTTCGGAAGGCTGGTTTGTCGACCAGCTGCAGCGCTTCGTCTTCGGTCACAATAAGTTCCATTATGTACTCCAGGAGTCCTTCCTTGGTAAATATAGGCACCTTGGTGACGAGGATCGTATCAAGGGTGGATTGTCTGGAACTGTCAATGATTCAGCAACACTTGATGCAAAACGTTAGCTGAAACTTACAGAGCCTGATCCTCGCTAGTCGGAATGGCACGAGGGTGCATAGTAATCCCTGCCGCTTGACAGCGAGCCTTGTAGAATTGAAAGTGATTTTTTTTACTAATAGATATCAGCAAAAGTAAGAGATGACATTGAAAGAACATACCGACTGATGTGTGTGCGGAGTGTAGAGATACCTCCTCGAAAGACATGCTTACTCTCAGGTTCACCAGCGTCCCTACCAAACATTAGCAGAACACAATACACGCAGTTCTAATTACATACTTGCAAGGGTTGCATACCCAGTGTGTTTCATGGCGAGTGAAGACAGTGCGAATGTCAGCGGTACGTTCAGTCTTCGGCAAAGTGGCTTGGATGGCGTCCTCAGGTTCGGCTTCGGCTTCAGGTTCGGCTTCGGGCTGGTCCTCCAAAGGATCGGTGTCATGACCAGCGTCGTCGTCATCAAGACTATCCTCGTCTGATAATAGACATGATAAAACCTTTTTGTGAGCCGGTTAAAGTTGAAGTTCAGTAGTGCTAGACAATGCACATTTGCGGTTTGTTGAGCTGGTGGAGGTCGAGGTTGAATAAATGTTCTCAGCATCCCGGAGGCGAGCAGATGGCTTAGAGGTCCGAATGGATCGTCGAGCACCAGCTGTAACTGGTGTTGGTTTGCACCCAGTATTCAGTAGCATAGAGAAGGCATCCTGAGGAGGATTAGTAGATGATGATGGCTGGGGGGCAGAGGACGTGGTGTCAAGGGGGACAGAATCATCGGGATCGTGGTAGAAGACGATGTCCTTGGCATCCTTGAGAGAACCGTCAGCATTGACAGCGCATGAGTCTGAATGAGCCATGTTGAATATAGTGCTTACCTGCTGAGGCTTGCACATTTTATGTGCAAGCAAATCAGACAGCCGGTGGACAAACAGCCGGTGGAGGATCGTAATAGCATCGTAGGGTGTTGGTATGATAAGGATCTGGGCGAGGACATGGTCATTATGAGCACAACACTCACACTGTTCAGTTTGAACAGTGCATATCATGACTTACCTTGTCAATGAGCCTCTGCATTTGACGGAAACAAGTAAGTATCGAAGCTCGAGAATCCTTGAGGCCAAGGCGAATCATCAAAGGCAGTGTCAAAACACGCTTCGACAATGCGACAGAACTTCTCGCGGTTCGGGGAAGGTTCGAACCAACATAGAACCGTTCAGGCAAATGGTGGACCGTGAACCTCACTCAGGTCCGGTCCGCCCCAATTCATGGACCACGGACCGAACCAAGGAAGAACCTGACCGTTGGTCAGGTTCGGACCGTGGTTCTGGACCGAACCACGGCAGCACTACCTGAGGCCTGAATCGGCGGTTTTCAATCCAACATTCCACAGATCTCAGAGTGAAGCCTATATCAAAGGACGCAATGCAAACGTGACCGGGGATTTGGTATCTGATCGTAACTACTTTGCCTTGCGCTGCCGCGTCATATACTACTATTTTGTCTCTCAGTTACGGACAGTGTGGGGCTAAGTCTGGGGTGGGGAAGTGTCAGCCGCTCGGCTCAATTCGGTCGGGGTTTACATTCTCCTCCATGTTGGGATCCGACGAATCCGAAGGAGACAAGGCCGAAAGGATGAGAGCCGAGAGGGAGAGGCAGCAACCGGCCGAAGCGTAGAGCCAAGGGAGAGGACACCAAGTGCGAGCGCATCCAAACGGAGAATGAGGTCGACGTGTCGTGGCCAACTCGTGCGCTGTCCATCTTTTAGTTTAGCTTAGCGTAAATTACTGTACCTGGGAGACTCACCTTATAAGCCCAGGTACCCGCATCCAAACATCTCAGTTTCAACTCGAATACTGAGATGTAAGTTAGTATTTTCGTAATGTTCGACTCGAGGTCTAACGTTATATTAGATTCGTACCTTTGTGTCTAGGTACAACTAGTGATGTGCACGGCCCGGCTTCAGGCCGTGGGCTGGCCAAAGCCGAGCCTGATTAGGCCGAGCCAAGCCGGGCCCAAGTCAGGGCCTGACCACGGCCCAGGGCCCGGCTTGAGGTGTTGAAAAGCCTGAGCCGGTGGCTCAGGCCGCGGCTTTTTGTCCCTTATCGGCCTCGATATTTGCGACCATGTAACTATGAAAACAGGGTCAGTCCAGCTAATCCACCAACCATGTACATCCCTCCATTCGATACCACCTCCTACTCCATACTCACTTCGCTACTTTCATCTATACCAACTTCTCTACCATCCATACCGGAAACATTGACCACAAGAACCTCTTCTCCATCTACAACGTCGGTCACGAATCTTTTTACTCTGGGGCAACAGACATCCAGCCAACAGTCAACTTCAGACAATCCCCAAAATGTTACTCCGCAATCCTCGCAGACTAGTTCCTCTGATTCACCAACTCCCACGTTACCAACCACGTTCCCCGGAGGCTCTCCAACAACAGTGCCAGGTGCACAATCTTCCCATATCCCACAATCTCCGTGCGGAAGTCCTGTGAACACTACTCTTCACTCACCGTAAGTCATTAGAGCTATGACCGAATGTGTTGACCTTATTGTGTGATTCTAAGCTTCGCTGGAGTTGCAAAAAATGTCATAAGCACGACATCGCCAATTACACACAGTGGGGATGCGTTCTCTTCGATCACCTATACTTCGATTGGTACCTCTACTATTACAACATACTCCTGCTTTGGGTCTACCTCAGCACTCGTGACCCTGACATCATCTCCTCATCCTCTTCCCTCCTCCTACTCACGTCTGTCGTCCGCACTTGTTTGAGCCATATCAGCAGTTGCTGACGTGCGCTGGGCGTTTGCGCATGGCGTTCGTGGTGTTGGGAATGGCGTGGTGGAGCTTCTCAACCTGGTTACCTGGGTGAATTCACGTGCGACTCAGAGTACCGATTTACATTGGTATGCGCGTGTCGTTGATTGCTCACCATTACAAATATGCTTAGATTGAATTTTAGATCATTTTGTTCTTGAAAGCCGTCGTTGAGCCCAAGCCGAGCCGCGGCTTTGGCCTGGCTTGGGCTCACGGCTTGGCCTGAGCTTTTGCAAAGCCCAAGCCCCCCAAAGCCGGGCCTAAGCCGGGGCTTTCAGGCCGAGCCGGGCCCGCACATCACTAGGTACAACGATTTGTTAAACTGAGTTTCAACTCGAATACTGAGATATTCGTACCTTTGTGTCTAGCTGCGCGTGACCGTCTCGCTATACTCTCAATACTCCACAATACTAAGACCTGTCCGAGCCCTCCGAGCATAGATGCGCTTGCCTAATTACCGCGAGACCTTGGTGTAAAACTTGTTCGCCTCGGTCGTGCACGCTGGAGTCACGGGTCGTTCTGAGGCATCTTATTGGCAAGTGCGGGATCAATCGATCACTAGCCAGCGACGAAACAAGCAGTAATTAGCGGTCCTCAAAGTTAAAATCATAGAAATTGCGAGAGGTAAGAGTTTTGCGAGTTGCCGATAATTAAATCTCCGACGATGACAAATCAAACTCATACATACCGTGACCCATCATCATCGTACCCTACGGTGACCATCATATCTATAACTATTGACTTTCGAGGGCGCAGACACGGTCTCCGGACTTCAATAATAACATCTTCAACATGCCTCGAGAATCGGATCGAAAAAGGCTACTACGTAGCCTGAAGAAAACCACAAATGATCTTACAGTCGCGCGATACATGGAGTTCGTCGAATTCATGGTTGATGAGCTACTTGAGGATGGCTCTGATAAGGGATCGGATGATGATACTACCGGTAGTCATGGAGGGTCAGATGTCAGCATACGGACTGCGTCGCCAACATGGCCAGAGTCCCCTACGTCATCCGTCATATCCACTTTGTCCATCAGCTCTCTAACATCGCTTTCGACAGCGTATTCCGATGTTCTATCGCTCGATATCCCGGACATGTGTGATCAAGTGTTTACGCATTTTATTGATGCGATCGGGGCACTGCACGATGAAGTGGAGAAGTGTCGGGTACTTGACGTGCGTCCATCTCTGACTCGCGCACCGCAGCTACACCTGCTGCAAGAATGGGCGCTGTTATCACCTGAAAAGTTTCGCCGCAAGCTTCGCGTTGATGCAGAGGTGTTCGATGAACTCACGACGTTAATCCAAGCCCACCCCATTTTCCATAATAATTCGAACAATCCACAACTTCCTGTTGCAGTCCAGCTCGCGATCTTTCTCAATGGTGTCGGCCATTATGGCAATGCTGCGACTACCGAAGACATATCTGATTGGGCTGGAGTGTCCGTAGGGACCGTCTACAACTGCTACAAACGAGTCATGATCGCGATCTTGCAACTGCACGATCGCGCCATTCATTTTGATCCGCTCGATCGTGAGGATCAGATCGAGCGAGAGCGGGCAAAAGCGTACGTGGAGCAGAGGACATGTCGTGAGTGGCGCGGCAGTTTTCTTTGTGTAGATGGGACTCCGTCCCCTCTACACGAGAAGCCTGGTTGGCACGGTGAAGGGTTCTTTGACAAGAACTCTGACTACTCTCTAACAGCGCAGGTAAGTATCTACTATCGGCTCAGTGTGCAGCGCAGTGACTTACAATTCGAAAGGTCGTCGTATTTCCCCACAATCTGCGTATCGTCGACTATGTCATTGGCGTACCCGGGAGTCTTCACGACTCGAACGTATTTGCACGAACGAGGGTCTCCCGGGATCCCAAGTCGTTTTTTGGTGCGGGAGAGTGGTTGTGGGCAGACTCGGTGTATGCTGCGCGAACTTGGTGTGTGCCGCCGTATAAACGGCCAGCGGGAGGGTGCTTGACGGCCGAGCAAAAGACATTCAATTATAACCTGTCAACAGTGAGCATCGATACTAATATACTTTCGTAGTCCTCACCCAGTGTCTAGGTCCGTGTTCGTTCAGAGCACTTTTTCGGCTCTATCAAGGGCCGGTTCCAATCACTGCGGGAGCTTCGCATCCCGATCCAAAGCCAGAAGGACCTCGACTATGCAAACATGTGGATCCGTTCGTGCTTCATTCTGCACAACTTAATTGTTGAAATTGAGGAAAAAAGAAACCGCGAAGACTCAAACATACGCTTCTATCAGCCAACTCGGAGGTCCAGGCGAGCTGACAGTGACGGAGGAGAGGATGATCAGCAAGAGGGTGGCGCAGTAGGTGATCAGACTTACATTGGAACTGTGGGGCAGGATTTTCGTAACATGTTAAAGACGCGGTTGCTTTCGTCGTTGGAGCGAAGGTAGTTAGTATTATATTAAATGTACTTGTACCTATACATCTTCCTTTTGGCTCGCAAGGTCATGCTTGAGATTTTCTCGAGAAAGGAGCGTTTTAGTGAGTGCTCTTTGTCAAGTAGAAGTTCTTCGTCCTCTTTAGTACCTAAAGAGGGGTCAGTCATGCTTGAGATTTTCTCGAGAAAGGAGCGTTTTGGCGAGCTCTAGGAGGGGTCGGTTGAGCTTGAGATTTTCTCGAGAAAGGAGCGTTTTGGTGAGATCTAGGAGGGGTCAGTTGCGCTTGAGATTTTCTTGAGAAAGGAGCGTTTTGGCGAGCTCTAGGAGGGGTCGGTTGAGCTTGAGATTTTCTCGAGAAAGGAGCGTTTTGGTGAGATCTAGGAGGGGTCAGTTGCGCTTGAGATTTTCTTGAGAAAGGAGTGTTTTGGCGAGCTCTCTGAGTTGGCACCATCGAGTACAAAATGGAATGCATTTCCTGAAAACCTGTTACATGACGACATAGTACAAACCTACTTAGTTTTGATCAAGACCACGCTCCAAGGCAATACGACGAATTCGAGCCTCCTCCTCCTCCCGACGTGCACGAGATAGCTCAATCTCAATTCTTGCAAATTCAATTTGTTGAGTCATCCTCTCCTGCTGGTGGAGATGATCTTGGTCAGATAGACGCATCGCATGCTCCCGCTCATCACGAGCACTGCGGGCCTTGAGATCACGAGCCCAAATTTCGGTCTCAAGTTTCATGCGTTTATAGCGTTCTTGCTCCACACGACCCTCACGTTTGCTGTTAAGGTGTGTCATTAGGGACTCTGCCGTCTGAGACATCCTATCTGCAGCAGCAGAGGTCTGATCAAGAACGCTGCCACCAGGGCGTTTGCGTGATGAAGAG